AGATCATCTCAACAGGCCTTTGTATCTCTGACCCCCTGTGCTCTAAATGCTGTATCTGGAAGCAATTTCTATGTTTGGGCTCAACTTAAGGCAAACTGTGGATTCCTGACGGGGTGCAGAATGGGCCGCTGAAGGAAAAGCTGACAGAGGGAGCTGGACCAGCCTGTGGCATGACCTTCCGGCTCCCTATCCTGGTTCTCTGTCTGTGCTCTTGGTAGTAAGAGGTACAGGCGGTGGGAGTGGGTTCCCAGCTCGACTAGGCCACACTAGGTGTATCTGAGTGTGGTCTGTGGACCCCTGTGTTGGAGCTGCTTGGGGGTTTGTTAATTGTGGATCTCTGTGGGTGGAGATCCAGAGATCCAGAAATCAGGATCTCTGTGGGTGGAGCTTCCAGAGATCTGATTTTACTCTCCAATGAAATAGCATCAGTCATCACTCACATTTGTTGTGTACTCACTTTATGCCAAGAATGAGTCTAGGTGTTTTCCATGTATTAACTCAATTTAAGACTCCAGTGGAAGACCTGTGAGTTCAGTTCTTAAACAAGCTTTCTTGGCCATTTGAACGTGGTGCTCTGGGGTGAGGTCAGTGAGACAGGGAGGTCTGCACACACCCAGGCTGAGTCTTTCAGTGACTTTGGACCCAATGCACTGAGCACCAAAGAGCAAGAGCAAGAGCAAGAGTGTTGTCCTGAGGACAAGCCTGGCTGCTGGGAGCGGGGCACAGCTCCAGGCCTGGCATCTCCCTTGGGAGACCTCAGGCTGCTTGGGGACCATCTCATTGCAGAAAAGGCCACTATTAAGAAGCCCTCTGAAAAGAGAAGGCCCAGACCCGGGGAAGCCTCTTTCGGGGCCTCGGTTTCCCCAGGTGGCCTGGGAGAGTGCAGGATCCCTCTCAGGCCCTGGGTCCCATGAAATGACCATGTGTATGTGAAGACGTGAGATTGGCTAGTGGGTTGGCTTGCTTGGAAACTTCTAACACGAGGTGGGTCTGACAAGATGAGTACAGGATCCTTCAGCCTCAGCATGCAGATGAGGCCAGGCCAAGTGGCACTACTGGTGATTCAGTGTGACCTGTGGAAAGAAAGGAGAGGAGAAAGGCGAGTCCCAGTCACGTCTCCTTCCTGCCTCCAGTCAGAAGGTGTTAGAGCTGCTCGGGCCTTAAGAGTCCTCACAGAAGGAAGGGGAAACAGACCTGGAGCACTGACCTCCGCTCACACTGTACCTTAGTGTTCAGAACAGAGCAGAACGTGGGTCTTCCGAGCTCCTTCCGAATGTTTTACTTTGTGGCATTGAAATAAGAAGGTGTGTCCTCCCAGGGAGCTTTGTGTTTAGGGAATGTGAATGATGGTATTAAACCCCAAAAGTCCCAACTCACCAACCAACAAAGCCCAAGGCTTCACGGCTAATTATGTGTTCACTCATGAGTCACAGGGTGTTTCTGTTGGAGATCCACCGCCAGCGTGCCTGGTTCCATCGCTTCTCCTCCTGGGGAGGGGCCGCGTCAGTGTCCAGGTGAGCTGTCTGGGTGTCCTTCTGTCTCTCTGCCTGGCTCGCTGACTTCATGGGTCAGCGGCAGACGCCAGGTGGACCCCTTCTCCAGGGGCTGGACAGAGGCTGGACCGAGTCTCTACAGTGATTGAGGACGCGCACGGCGCCTGAGGGAGAAAGGTGTAATTAGGGCGCTTCGTGGGCCTTTAACTGCTATCCCTCGGCTGCCAAGCGGCACTGGACAGCGTGGGCTATTAGTCTGCTGTGTGCTGGGCTCCTGAGGGCCAAGGGCCACACACGTCTGCACACTGGCTGAGGATCCAGGGGCCCAGCCCTGGCCTGCTCCTGCGCCCCTGAGGGCCCTGCCATTGGGCTGAGGTGGGCCCTTTGGGGGTGGTTGGAGCGGTGACAATCACAAGTGCTGGAAAACAGGAAACGTCTGGCTGCTCGTGGTGCCGGGTGGGCTCTGCAGACGGGAGGGTTTATAAAAAGACAGTCTGCAAATTCTTGTAATCTTTGTCACACTGAGTGTGGTCCATTTTAGACAACAGGGAATGGCCCTCTTCCCACAGGGAATTATCTCTCCATTCCTCCTTCTGGCCCTTGAGGGACCCTCCACAGGCCTGACTTGACACCCCCTCCCAGCTAAGGGGTGCAGACTCAGAGAGGTGGGTCCTCAGAGGAGCCTCCACCTACGTGCTCATTTACCTGTGAAGAAACAACACATGTTTTTCAGGTGATGGGCTCTTAATTCATCTGGGTATTTGGGCTGTGACACTGTTTTCGGAGTGTGCTGGGCATAGGAATGTGTGGTGACAATTCATGAGCACTGGGTAGCCCCACACCAGGCACCATCAGAGCCTCACCTTTTGTAAATCCATCTGGGGGTCAGCTGTCACACACACATACCCAGGGAAAGGACAGACACCCACACCTCTGCACAGAGCCCTGACACAGGCACAGTCATCCTATAAATGGATCTCATATCACCCTCTGGGACTCGGCCCTAGAATCCTGAAATCTTAGGGATGGACAGGACATTGGCTGCCCCATACCTCACTAGGTGTGGAGGCTTCTCTGCAGCTTCCTCATCGGGAGGTGGCTCAGCTCTGCTTCAGCACTTCCAGGAGCGGGGAGCTGACTGCCTCTATGCTGCAGCCATGGGCTTTACAGACTCTCTTTGGTGGTGAGCTGAAACCCAGCACTTTGGAACTTTTGTGCACTAGCTGTGACCTCTGGAACTGCTGAGTTTGGTTGCTTTCTTTATCCCAGGGCGGCCCTTTCCGTATACTGGGGAGAGTGCTCCTGGGCTCCCCGCGCCTTCTCTCTTTCTGGCCATTCCTCCGCCCCTCCTTCAATGGATGCACAGATGTTCTGGTTTCTGGGTCTTCTCACTATCAACTAGAGAAGTTCTTCAAGAAGCCAGTTTGTCATTGGCCTTTTTGAAATTCAGAGTGGAACTGAGCATGGCAGTACAGGTGTGGCCTGATCAGGGACTGTGGAGTTGAGACTATCTATCATCTCCTTTGTTCCACGCTTGATACGTCTATTGATGCAGTCTCTGGTCATGGTAGTTGCTGTGGGCAGCCTCTTTCTATGTGCATGTTTATATATAAAGTGCTTCTCTCAGGGTGGTGGTTGAGCCGCTTTTTCTGTGGTCCCTGCTTAAGCAGTTAGTTTTCTGCTTTCAATTTCGGGATTTGGGCTTTTTCTATACAAGTTCATGATTTTAGATCTGTCCACAGCTTCATCTGGTCCCATTCTTTCACGTCTAGATTCCGTCAGCCAAGTTATTCTTTTTCCTTTATTTGTACCACTGTGCTGCATACTTAGCTAAATCCTTAATGAAATCGTAACAGGTCAGGGCTTGGACAGGCTGGGAATATGTGAAGAGTTCAGCCTGTATAGGTGGGGATGAGCTTGGGGTTTTCCTCAGACGCCTTGTTGAGGGTCAGGAAGCAGCATGTGGGGCAGAGGCCAGGGCGGGAAGCCTGCATTATTTTGAGTTATGCTCCAGGCTCAGGCCCCCATGAGTTCAGGGGCACAGGGAGAAGCCAGACAAGGGCCTTCTCCACGCAGCCCGTGTATGCCTTATATGCCATATTTTCCAATTCCTTCCTCTGACGCTGATGTTTGCTCATTGAGAGAGAGAGAGAGAGAGAGAGAGAGAGAGAGAGAGAGAGAGAGAGACTGCATAAACAAAGGACTCACCTAGGAGTTGGGGCACCTAGGATTTAATACTTGATCCTCAGTTTCCCTGCTTCCCCATAAAATGAAGAGCAGCAGTCACTCCTCGACCCTTCAGGAGTTACAGGGCCCTTTAAACCTTGGGAGGAGGTCACAGATGGCCTCTCTGAGTGTGTCTAAGTTTTCTGGAACCTACTTCAGGCCATCTGGGAACTGGGACTCAAGTTCCAGGAGGCAGGTCCCAGGCATCGGCTGGGGTCCAGCAGCCTCCCCAGCTGCAGACAGTTGCTCTGCACTGGAAGGTGGTTTGAATTAAACCTCCATGAAACACATGTGGACAGGTTGATGGTGGTGGTGATGGGCTGGGTGGGGCAAGGCAGAGCAGGGGGAAAAGCTCGGCTCTCCCTCCATCTTTCTGCACAGCAGCAGTGTGGTCCTCCCTCTGCTGGCTGCTACTGCTCCTCCAGGCAGGCCACCACATTTATAGGCTGGGCATCTTCCCAGGTTCAGAACCTATTTATTTGTTCCTATCTCTTCTCTGTTCCTCCTGACAAGGCCATGTTCCGATATCCTTTTAGCTGCTATGAGGGCTACAGAACTGGATAAGATATAGTTCCCACCTTAAGGAATGTGTAGGAATGAAAGATGTGGCCCTTGTCCTTGAAAAGCATATTAATGAGGGAAGGAGATAGTTGGAAACACAGTGAATGTCCGGCTGTGGAATGTCCATGGGGAGGTTGGGAAGACCACCTGCATGGGCGGGAAATGAATCCTGATTCATGGTACAGGGAAAGCTTCCTCGAAGTGATGGCATTTGAGCTACACCTAGAAGCATGGGGGAGATTTGATGAGGATGAAGAGCACTCTGAGTGGGGGGCACTTCCTGGGCAAAGGCTTGGAAGTGGGGAGGCAGGGGGAAGGCCAAGAGGCTTGCTGACCAGAGCAGAGGGGAGCACTGAACTGGGTCCATGATGATAGATAGCACTTGAGGCCAAGCCACTGCTGATATCAAGGTTGGTGTTGGCTTAAAACAAGCCGTAGTAAGCCTGGTAGGTGGTGCATAACTGTAATCCTAGCAGCTTGGGAGGCTGAAGCAGGAGGATCTCAAGTTCAAAGCCAGCCTCATCAATGGCCAGGCACAAAGCAACTCAGTGAGACCCTGTCTCCAAATAAAATACAAAATAGGGCTGGAGACGTGGCTCAGTGGTCAAGTGCCCATGAGTTCAATCCCCAGTCCCCCCCGCCCCCCCCCCAAAGAAAAGAACTAGTCACAGTGTCAGTGAGGTGACCCTGACTAACACGTGCTGTCTCCTTGCAGAGGCCATGCTGCTGAAACATTACCTCCTCTTGCTGGTGGGCTGCCAAGCCTGGACTGTAGGGTTGGCCTACTATGGCTGCCCGAGTGAGTGCACCTGCTCCAGGGCCTCTCAGGTGGAGTGCACGGGGGCACGCATCGTGGCAGTGCCCACGCCTCTGCCCTGGAACGCCATGAGCCTGCAGATTCTCAACACGCACATCACCGAACTCAGCGAGTCCCCATTCCTCAACATCTCGGCCCTCATCGCCCTGAGGATCGAGAAGAATGAGCTGTCACACATCATGCCTGGTGCCTTCCGTAACCTGGGCTCGCTGCGCTACCTCAGCCTCGCCAACAACAAGCTTCAGGTTCTGCCCGTCGGCCTCTTCCAGGGACTGGACAACCTGGAGTCTCTCCTTCTGTCTAGTAACCAGCTGGTGCAGATCCAGCCCGCCCATTTCTCCCAGTGCAGCAACCTCAAGGAATTGCAGCTGCATGGCAATCACCTGGAATACGTCCCCGATGGCGTCTTCGACCACCTGGTGGGACTCACCAAGCTCAATCTGGGCAAGAACAGCCTCACCCACCTCTCACCCAGGGTCTTCCAGCACCTGGGCAACCTCCAGGTGCTCCGGCTCTATGAGAATAGGCTCTCGGACATCCCCATGGGCACTTTTGATGGGCTTAGCAACCTCCAGGAGCTGGCCCTCCAGCAGAACCAGATCGGCATGCTCTCACCTGGCCTCTTCCACAACAACCGGAACCTGCAGAGGCTCTATCTGTCCAACAACCACATCTCCCAGCTGCCTCCCGGCATCTTCATGCACCTGCCCCAGCTCAACCGACTTACACTCTTTGGGAACTCCCTGAAGGAGCTCTCCCCAGGGATTTTTGGGCCCATGCACAACCTGAAGGAGCTCTGGCTCTATGACAACCACATCACTTCTCTACCCGACAACATCTTCAGCAACCTCCACCAGTTGCAGGTCTTGATCCTTAGTCGCAACCAGATTAGCTTCATCTCCCCGGGTGCCTTCAATGGACTGACAGACCTGCGAGAGCTGTCCCTCCACACCAATGCCCTGCAGGACCTGGATGGGAATGTCTTCCGCATGTTGGCCAACCTGCAGAACATCTCTCTGCAGAACAACCGCCTCCGACAGCTCCCAGGGAATATCTTCGCCAATGTCAACGGTCTCATGACCATTCAGTTGCAGAACAACCAGCTGGAGAACCTGCCCATGGGCATCTTTGATCACTTGGGGAACCTGTGTGAGCTTCGGCTGTATGACAACCCCTGGAGGTGCGACTCAAGCATCCTTCCGCTCCGCAATTGGCTCCTGATCAACAAGGGTAGGTTAGGGACAGACACTCTCCCAGTGTGTTCCAGCCCAGCCAATGTTCGAGGACAATCCATCATCATCATCAATGTCCCTGGCCCCAGTGTTCCGGCCCCAGCCATCCCTGAGGTTCCCAGCTACCCCAGCTACCCAGAAACACCACGTTACCCAGACACACCACGGTACCCAGACGCACCCCCGTACCCAGATGCTCCGCGGTACCCAGACGCACCCAGCTATCCTGACACACCCAGCTATCCTGACACCACATCCATCTCCTCTACAACTGAGATCACTAGCTCTGTAGATGACTACACTGATCTGACCACTATTGGGGCCACAGATGACCGCAATACTTGGGGCATGACCCAGCCCCAAAGTGGGTTGGCCATTGCTGCCATTGTAATTGGCATTATTGCCCTGGCCTGTTCCCTGGCTGCCTGCATCTGCTGCTGCTGCTGCAAGAAAAGAAGCCAAGCAGTCCTGATGCAGATGAAGGCACCCAATGAGTGTTAGGAAGGCAGGCTGGAGCAGGGCTCAGGAAAGGAGAGACGGGAGCATCTAGGAATGTGAGCATTCTGCCTCTACCCTTGGGTCCACAGAGCCAGGCTCTCAGGGCTCTTTCCAGGCCTTAGAGAGAGTTGCCCCACCTTGTCCTGACCTGCCTGATTCTTCTGTGGAGAAGCAGGTCTCACAGGACATTCTTACCACCAGGGAGATCACATGGCTGTAGAAAAGCCCCTGGAAAATTTCCTATTCATATGCTTGGGTTTCGCTCAGAGGGGCCTTCCCCCAAATCCTCACCACCTTTCCTTCAAGAACAACTTTCCCTGCACCCAGGCCCCCTCCTGGCCTCTGTAGACTCAGTGGTGAGAAAACCTGCTCACTTTGGGGGAACAGTTCTCCACCAGGACAGCCCCTCTCCTCAGAGTATTATGTAAGTTGATTTCCCTTCTTTTGCTTCTCTTGTTTGTGCCATGGCTTAACCCTGTCCCCTCAGATGGAAGTTCTCCCCTTAATTTTCTGCTCCTGAAGGCAGGGTGAGTTCTCTCCTCAAAGAAGGCTTCAAATCATTTAGCTGGTTTCTTAAGACCTGCAGACCCCCCGGCTTGGAGGATGTTGTGAAAGAAAGAACGAATCCCATACTGCTCAATTCCTGGACATACATTTACCATCGGATCTCTCTTGTGATTTTTGTCTAGAAAAGAAAGACACACGTGCAACAAACTCAGCCTTGTAGAGGATGATAATTCCAAACTACAAAGTTTGCTTGGCAATTTTTAGTCCTTTGTGGAATAAAATCGTGAAGAATTTTTGACTTCTAAAACCATTTAATTTGTAAAATCAGCTTATTGGTACTGAATGGAGAAAGAAACCTGGTGTCTGGGGGTCCTTTCAGTCACCCCTAGGGGTTTTCTTTTCGATTTTTTAAAATTGAAGTATAATATACGTACAGAAAAGTGGGAGCGTGATAATGTACATCCATGTGATCAGTGTCAAATCAAGAACAGAGCATCACCAGTATCCCCAAACCCAAGCTTTTACTGAAGGACTGGGACATCTGAAGATGACACGGACTTACCTGGATTCTTACCAGGGGCCTCACTGCCCCCCCCCCCCCCCCGCTCCATGGCCAGCTGTTGCAAAGGCCCAGCTGCCAGGATGACAAAGATGTGATATGGACAGCACAGGAGACTGGCCTGGAGAGGAATCTTAATAAACCCTGAGATCTGGAGGGACCCAGGCTGGCCAGGTCAGAAGTGTCCTAACTACAGTGGCCCATGCAACCACAGTGTCTTCCCTGCTGATAAGCTGCAGGTCATTGGAGGTTCCTTGTCTGGGCCCTTTTATGGGCATGATATGCCTATATCTGTTTTTAATTCACTTTCCATTTGGGGGAAATGAAATAGCTCTGAGATGAGATCTTTTAATTGAACATTCAAGTGTAATGGGAACCAGGGATCCCTCTAATGTTGTGGAAAAATTCTTCGTCAACATTAGTCAGCTAGCAGCAAGGCTTCAGGATTTTCACAGACAGCAGATATCAAGATACACTGACAGGTCCCAGTGGTTGGAGTGGCTCTCTGAAGCTCCTCCTACTTATCATCTGGTTATGAGTTAAGTCATTTGATCCAGGGTTTTCTCTTCCTTGAGTTATAGTTGAATTCCTGCTTTCATGCCTTTCCTGCTACACACATATTCACAGATGTTAAAGAAATTATGTTCAAGGCAACACATGTCTTTCTCTGGACATCTGATCCACCAGTTCAGAAATAAAAGCAGTAAAATTGAAGAATTTCAGGTCTCCATATCTGCCCAAGAAAGAACTTCAGTTGATCTCAGGGATGTAGGTCTCAGGGATCTACCACCAATCCTGATTGGCTTTTATTAGGTCCCTCTACCTCTCAAGATGAGTAAGAAGCCTCCGCAGCATCATGATGACAGGATGGCCAGGCCCCCCAACACAAAATGTCTCAGAAGGAATGTCTAGTGCATGTCGTAGCTTTTAACTGTCCCAGAGAATCTGATATCCAGGCAAAAGATATTATTTCCCCAAGGCAAATCTGGGTCTACAAATGTTTTCAAAATATTAACAGAATGAGTGCATGTGTATTAAGTAAGGCTCACCAGGACCCAAAAGGAAGGGAGCCCCAAGCTTGAGGCATGACCTTCGTCCTATTGACAGTGGCCTGCCGCGTGGGCCCAGGGGCTGGAAAGGGAATGTGGGTCTGCTTTCCTCCAGACAGGAAGCCTGGTTTGGCATCACATTCCTCAGACCCAGAACACTCAGGTGCTTCTTGTGAGTGAGCTCCAGTGTTTCATTGTGCTTAGGAACAAGTGGCTAGGGATAGAGAGAGGTAGGAACCCTCAGCATTCCATGCTCCCTGCCAGCCTTAACCCAGAACCCCTGGGTGTTTCTGACATTGGCCATGACATTGGAATACCTTCCTTTCTGGCTCAAAATACTGGTCTGAGAACAGGTGTCTTCAGACGACCCACCCAGGTAGATCCCAGGTGAAGGGGATGGGCCTGTTAGATGACCCTTCCCAGCTTGCCTGTTCCTTTCTCCCATCAGAATGGTTTGGAGCCATCATCCCTGTTGTTCCTTGTCAGGACTTTTGGCCTCTCTGATCTGTGCTGTTTGGTCAAGGAGTGGCCCCAAAAGCTGAATGGAGTGCCCTTTTCAATACGGCACTATTGAATGATGTATTTGCTCAATTCTTGGGACTGGAGTGAGCTGAGTGGTCCCTGAAATGTTGGGTAGGGTACAGAATTCCCTTCACTTCTCCTCTGTGCACTGGTTTCTAGGCCACCTTGCCGTTCACCAGCAGCCTTCATGTGACACGGAAGGAAGGAATCAATGTTGGAGGAAAGGACCATTTTAAGAAGTGCTTACTGTGCACAAGTGTCCTCCAAAGCTCTGGACACATTCCCCTTTAACCCTCCCAGTGCCCCCTTGGGACAGGGCAGAAGACCGTCACAATAGGTTCTCAGTAGGCTGGGGGTTTACTTCTGTCTTCAGCCTTTACACAAGACCACATGCTCTGACTAGGGTTTTCACCATGAGAACAAAGCAAATGGGAGTCCCCGTCCTGGTGCTCCTCATACTCTTAAGTCACTGGGACCTCACCTGGTACTGTATGGATCCCAACTTTGTAAATACAGGAAACTTGTTCAGCCATGAAAGAAAAACTGGCCCCTGTCCTTAGAATTATTGGTCTGTGTGGATAGTGTTCTTTCTCTTGAGAATGTAGAGGTTCTAGATCTTCTCATGGGCAACCACACGATTCCCATACTTCAGATGTCAGGGTAGAGCTGATCCAGGAATCTACTCCCAAGCTCAGGAAATGTATGGAGAGCAGACAGCTAGCAAGTCACTAGATGACTGGAGGTGGGGGCAGAGGTGGGGTATATCCCACCCTTTAGCTATAAGCTACTCAAATTTGGCCCACGGCTGATCCTGTGGCCAGAACCTAACCCAGTTTGTTGGGGGAGGCTGTGGCGGTCTTGTGAAGGAAGCCACCACTGTGGCTGAGAGAGGGTGTGCGGCAGGCTGCTTCCAGGTGGAACTCCTCCCGATCCTGGGTTCCTTCTTCTATGGAGAGATGGTTCTCACCACCCATTGCTTTCATGCTGCCTGCAAAAATAGATCACCTTTGCCTTGCTAAGAGAATCACTGCAAATAGTCCCAGGTGCTTGGCAGTGCATGTAGCGATTTCTAGGCCCCCAGGGTTTTATAGAGTGTGAACCCTGGTGGGCAGGGTTAGGGGTCTGTCTTTTGCTAGATGCTGCTTGTAACAAATTTGGTGTACAGAATCAACAATAAATGGTATACCCAGGACACGTGTGCCCTCTCTGAACTTCTTGGTGGTGGTGGGGGCGGGTCTCACACCTGTGAAGTCTGCTCTTGCCACAGAGATCAAGCCTGGCCTGGATAACACCTCACAGGAAATAGATTCCAAGAACAGGACTTTGGAAAGTGAATGGGGACCAAAAAGGAAATAACAAATCATCTCTATAGGCTTCACAAACTTAAGACAGGAAATAATTTCCCAGAGTCACCTGGTGAACTAGGGGTTGAGCGAGCAAGAGACCCGGGCTTCCAGTTTCTTCTGTGCCACCCGGAGGGCATGTTGCTCAACACATTCACACGTGCAGGGCAGGAGGGCAGGAGGGCAGGACTGAGCTCCCGTCAGGACTCAGCACCAGGCTCAGCAAGTCACAGGCTCTCAGAATACGCCCTCGGAGTGAAGGCGATCACTTCCAGTATCTAAATGTCCCCAGGCCTCCCTCAGGCCTCTAGTCCCAGGGGTGCCACAGTTGCTGGTGTAGGAACAGCAATGCTAACAGGGATGAGCCCACTGTTCCTTAACACACCGTCATCTCAGGAAAGGGCCTTCACATGGGATTGTCATGTGTTCGCTTACATTCCTGTCAGGTGTCAGCTTGTCCCAGGAATTTGGGGCAGGACAGAGGTCAATAATGTTCATCAGATTATGTGGCTGGACCCCTTCAGGAATGAAGGACAGGGCTTTGCTGTGCTCCCCTGACCACTGAATCTCTGTCTACTCGGACAGGTTTCTGAAATATGAGATTAATAGAGTCTTCATCCCTAATCTCATGGAAGATCTCTGGAGTTCTTAATGCAAATCTCCCTCCACGCATGACCCACACACCCATTACCTGAAGTTTGATTACATGTGCACACACGGTGGATGTGCACACACACGCACACACACACAGAGCTCCCTGAGCCCTCAGCCATACCTATCCCACAGAAGAGAATGCAGGGACTTATGGTAAATCTTGAGTAAATCATGGTCTAGGAACTGGCTAGTTATGCTGGGCGCGGTGGCACATGCCTGTAATCCCAGCAGCTTGGGAGGCTGAGGTAGGAGGATCACAAGTTCAAAGCCAGACTCAGCAATTTAGTGAAATCCTAAGTAACTTAGTGAGACTGTGTCTCAAAATAAAAAACAAATGGGCTGGGGATGTGGCTCAGTGGTTGAGTGCCC